ATATCTATTTTACATAATTGATGACTTCCAAACTTCAGTAAAAATTTTCAGGTGACCTTTACTTTTAGACGACGTTATGGATTTTATATTTTGCAAGCTTATGTGCCAACTTACCTCACTATAATTGTAAGTTGGGTAGGTTTTTGCATGGAACCAAAAGCGTTACCTGCCAGAACAACCGTTGGCGTTTCATCTTTGCTAGCGCTTACGTTTCAATTCGGAAATATCCTCAAGAATCTCCCTCGGGTATCTTACATCAAAGCTATGGATGTGTGGATGTTAGGTTGCTTAGTCATTTGTTTAATAAATTATTAAAAAAACTTCAAACCACTATGCAAAGTCCATATTTCTGATAAATTGCTAATTCCAGCAATCCGAAATAATATGACCTGAGAATATACAAAACTGAAACGATTCAGAAACTGAAGTTCAAAGTTCTCATTGCCGAAGTCATTTGAATATTATTTAAAATTGAATATTTAAGGGCATTCTGGAAGCAATCGAAGAATGAGCAGTTTTTCAATGACTTGAAAGTAGAAACTAAAAACAGATCAATTATGAGCACTAGAATTTCAGGTTGCATAACTTTCGTTTTTGGTACAATGGTTGAACTAGCATTTGTTTGTTATATTACCCGTTGTTTTGGTGGGAATTTGAAGAAGAAAATTACAACAAGAAGATTTGAGCCTTGGCGGCGTCTGCAATCACAATCGGCTTTGTCAAATCTTAATGGTACTTACAGAAAAAGCTCATTTAGAAGTAAGTACCACTTAAAGTTTCCCCACACAAATCATATTTGAGGTCGAATCTTAAAAACATCTTCAGGCCATTCATTGCTGTATCATTCCAAGAGAATGCGACACAAAGGTAAAATCCGAAGTAATGCTACTACATCAATTTTTCGAGAGTCGCCATCACCTCCTTTGACTATGCAGAACTTATCACAGCGACCCTTTCGTGTCATGGATCATTGCTCTAATAATATTCAATCGATAACTACTGAAGAAAAGCTTACATTTAAAGAGGTTATTAATTAGTACTTTAGCATGAGTCATCGCAAAGCATAGCTTGACTACCAACAGGAATCAAATGATGATAATTATTGAAAGCAAGCAAATCCAAAACCGAGTAATAACTTGCCTGTATTGAACAATGATTAAGATTTTCATTCATTATCAGTTTAAGAATAAGCTGAAGGTATGGTCTTAGAAGTACTTCTCATTTAATACCAAATGATAATGCAATACAACAATGAAATTAAAACAATAAGTGTTAATTTAAATCTTAATAAACAACTCTTCTCGGAAGTTTATCACCAGTTCCCATAACAGTGATTCAATTAGTGCTGCTACACTAATGAATTCCCAGAAATCAATTTCTTTCATACAACAGGCAACTAGAAATGTAAACCCATGCACAGTGAAGCGGAATTTGCTACTAATTGATATCAAACCAGAAACAGTCGACAAATTTTCTCTCGTATGCTTCCCTCTGGCATTCACTCTTTTCAATGTAAGTTTAGAGCAATTTACACATACCTCAGTTTTCAAACCCACCAACTTAGTAGAATTCAAAATCCGATGACATGACCTATTAACATTAAATTTAATAAAAGCTCCCGTCCCTCATCACCAAATAACCATTGTTTACCGAGCCCTTCCTTTCGATTTATTCTCAGCTTCATTCAAATAACTAAAATTGAAACCAAATACTCACCATTTCAAGATTCCAGATTGAATTAACTTTAGAATAACAAATGAACTGATTTCAGTTCATGTACTGGTGGTACTACTTGTTCCATGTACACTCCAGTACGCCAGACTAAATAAGCAGTCGTACGTAAACTGCAGACAAACGTATCGATGTCTCAGAGACGTCTTCCTGCGATTCGTGCAACTTTAAGAATGTTATAACCTCAAATGTTGTATGTAACCTTTTAAGACCACTTCAGATGTTAAGATTAAAGTATGGAGCTTATTCAAGTAATTCTTAAACCAAAATAAACAATGGAATAAATCACATCCCTCAAGAACAAAACACCTATTAAAGATATCTCAGAAATCAGTGCAAAATAATGAGTGAAAACACCATAACGATTCAATATGATGTAAAGAACAACTTATATTTAAATGTACAGAAAAAATTATGGTGTGAAGAGCTTACAACATTTCTGGTTGACAACGTTGTCAACTACAAGCAATAATCAAATCATTTATTGTGGTACATTAAAAAGTTGGATACAATGAAGTAAATACCAAATGTTTTACATAACTGAAGTAAAACTTATGAAATGTATGTAATGGGCCACAATATAAATCTTTTTGCATCTTTTTGAGAAAAAAGGTCGAGACTCGAACTTAAAAGATCGAACATTCCTAATATTATGAAAATCGAAATGCAAGCACAATTTTAGTTCCTTGATAAAAATACATCTCAAGAATTAGTGACATTATGAAGGTGAAATCATAAGCTATATTAAAAATCTTTTTAAAACGTGAAGGGACCATAAACAATAAATGAAACGAAAAGAGATTAACAATATATGACTTCCCTTGCCAATATTAAGAGTCTGTGTCCATTTCATCAGATGAGATCAGCCACTGAAACCAAGCAGATGAAAGTATTATAAATGCATAACACAATTTTTAGAAGTGGAAAAATATAACAGTATATAAAGACTAGTCTTACACTACGACAAACAAAATAAATTATAGAAGTAGGGGCGAAAATTTTATGCTAGATACTCCGTTTTTTTAATGTTTTCAAAAGATCTGTAATTTTTCTTACACTTAACAACACATTAAGATATGAAACTCCTTTGAATTTTTTTTGATTTCCTAGAAAGTTTAAACACACGCCATGTTACTGACTAAACTAACCTTGGGGACAATAAGTGTATACTCTCAAGTAAAATCACAAAGAACGATTCATTTGAAATTAATCTTGAAACAATGGACATAATAAGGCTCACCGTTCATAGGCATTTCATCAATTTGCGTCGCATAGTACTGTTCGATATCACGCAAAATACGAATGTCATCAGATTTAACAAAATTAATGGCAACACCTTTGCGACCAAAACGACCTGACCGTCCAATCCTTTAATATGATAGAAATCAAAAATGCCAAATACCATCACCAAAATCATAAAAAAACTGACAAGTATTGTGTCCCCACAAACTTACCGATGAATATACAATTCACGGTTATTCGGCAAATCGTAATTTACAACAAGTGACACCTGTGGAATATCTAAACCACGGGCGAATACATCTGTCGAAATCAATAAACGGCTGAAAAAAACCAAAGATAGAACAAAAAAATGAAATAAACAAAAAATTATCATTTAACAAAAAATATGTTTATTTTTGACATAAAAAAATGACACCAAC